AACGAAACAGCTGTTAGGATCTATGATATGCTATAATTGCATTGCTCTATCCCCCCCCCCCCTCCAAAAGCACTTTAGCAAATGCATAAGCAGTCGAGAGTCTGTCTGCGGTGACTAACGAACTGAGGTCGTGCTTCCACTTTGCGGCACACCTCGAGTGTAGTCATATTTATAGGCCGGCTCCTCTGGGCGCAGCGTGAAGTCCGCAAACTGAGTCAGGAGGCCTGATCCGAGAGCAGCGTCGCTAGAATCTGGGTGGAGAAGTCAACAGGAAACACTCGCGTCAACCTCTTTAAGCAAAAAACTTGTTTTCAGTATCGTTTAAATTGAATGAATGTCCAAGAGAAGTTCTCAGAGCTTCATGTGATGCTGCTGAAACAAACAGATTTCCTGAAAATTGATGTAAAGCAAGAAAAAGAACGAGAGGACATTCGTTCTAGATAAATCAATTAAATTACTGATTTGACAAAACAGATTTTTATACTATTAATTAATAGATGGATAATTTCAGCGCTGTCACAGCAGAGAGTTTGACTTTTCACATCTACAGAAGTACAGTTGCATCGTTTTTGTTTCCACCCACTCCGTCACAGAAGCTTCAACTGCAAAATACTGACAAATACGGGAAAAAATAAAAATTTGAAATAGTTTTTAGACGTCGAACGATATATTTTATTTGTGGCCGATACCAATTATGAATATTATTAATCAAGGAGACAATATTTGGAACGGATATCTGCACAAGAAATGAAAATGTTGGTGTTAAAATTTACACAAACTCTTGTTTGAAATGCTTTCATTGGTGTTTCACGAATGTTTAGTTAAAAGAAAGTTTGCATAAGTTGTAGTTTAGTGTTAATTGCTTTTAGTAAAGTGTTATTAATATTTTATTTGGATAAAGTACTAATAATCTCAAAAATACTGATTATGGGATGCAATAATCAATCGGGCTGATATCATCATTGAGACCTTTTTTTTTTCTTTTTTTTTTCCAGTAAATCAAAAATTTCTCATGAGGACAAACCAAAAACTTTCACTTACATCCTCTTTGACAAAAAAAATACTCAAACTGAAAGACTGATAGACGCACTTAAAAGCAAGAAAACACTGTAAATAAACCACAAACTCCATCCGTAGTCACCTAAATCCCTCATTTTTTGAAAACATAGACATCAGGCTGCATGATATTGGAAAAAACTGACATTTTGTTGTGTATTGCGTTGTGCAAAACTGCAGGAATCTTTGCTAGATTACAGTCCTTCTACAAAAATTGGGCTGATTTTGTAAGGGAAAAAAATCTTTTTCCTCTGGTTTAACACTGGTAAAGGAATCCACAATAGGTGTTTGCTTCGGTTTGCATTAAAATCTTTGTGGTGCTGATTGAAAAAGTGAAACTAATCAGTCATGTCGCCTTGTGTGGAGGCAAAAAATAAATAAATACTGCAGATATAGTACATGTTTTTGGTCAATATGTAGCTGAAATATTCAAATATCATTTCTTTTTGCAACCAAATCTTGGTTTCTTTCCATGTTCATCGCTCGTTTCACTGTGCACATGTGAAGCCTGCAGGTCAACACGCTCTGTGTCTATTAAATAGAGTTATAACTTCCTGTTTCTGGTTGTCATCCTGTGTAGACAAAATCATTCCATATAGCTTTATTTTTTTGCAACCAAACCTTCCTTTTTAGGGTTTCTTTGCTGTTTTTTTGCTAATCTTGCTGTGCACATGTGGAGCCTGCATGTCCACAAACTCGGTGTCTTTTACATAAAGTAACAAAAGGCTATCAGGCAGACTTCCTGTTTCTGGTTATCGTTTTCTGTAGCCAAAATATTTCAACATAGCTTCATTTTTTGCAACCAAACCTTCCTTTCCTTTGTTCTTTCCTTATTTTACTGTGCACATGTGGAGCCTGCATGTCCACAAACTCAGTATCTTGTGAATAAAAAAACCTTAATTTGCAGTAAATAATGTTGTAAATCAGACGGTCTTCTCTCGTGGATTCGTCATGAAAAAATGAGACTCGTGCAAGTTGTTCTGTACTATTGCATCTTGCAGCGTTAAAGCAGAACCTATATATCGTGCAGCAGCAGCTTTGCTCTCTATAGTGACTGTTTATCACACCTGAAGCCTGAAAGCACAGAAGCTTTGCACAGATGTGTTGCTGCTGCAGAGCGACTGGCAGCTTCGTCTTCCTGCAGCAAAAAAAAAAAAAAAAAAAGTTGGACATCAGTATGTTACGGCGTCTGACTGACACCTGACAAGTGTCGCTGTCGGGCTCCTCTCTGCTTCGCCGTGCACGTCAGAAAAACCCGGTCGAGGCATCTTGTCCTTGAGTGGGATCACATTGTGGACAACCTGCTCCTCTGGTGCCATGTCACCCGGCGTTGTCGTGAACAAGCCGCCGGCCCGCTGGAGGTGTGTCCTGCTTATCTGTGTTTTTATGCTTTTTATTTCATCACCGTGTGTCTGTGTGTGTTCGCCGCCGCTCGTCTTCCCCGCAGACAGAGCTTGGAGCCGAGCCCGAGCCTCCTCCTCTGCATCTCATTGGAGCTAATTAACTCCTTAGGACTTTATGATTGGGGGGATTGCTCGGGAGCACTGAACCCCATCCAATTAATTAAGAGCTAAACGGGCAGCGGCGCTCGCCCCCAAAGGCTCCCCCCCTGTCAACAAGTTGATTTTCAGCTTTTCTTTATTTTGCACGGGGGGCCCCTGATGTTGGTTTACAAGCAGAATCCTTGTAATCAGTAGGCAGCTAAAGAAAAAAAAGAAAAACCCAGCAGCCTGGCAGCGACGGCGTCTCCGTTCGGCTCCGTCACCTGTCACGAATCGCCTCCGTCAGCCTCGTCCCCAGCTCGTCCTGACAACGTTTCAGTGTCTCCTGACGGACTATGCTGACGCTCTTTTGCTTTCTCTGTTTATCCAGGTCATCAAAGACCCGCCGCCGCCTCCTCCACCTTCACGGCCTCCACCACCTGTGAGTACACCGGCAGAGTGGCGACACGTGAACATCACCAAAGTTACAGCACAAATGATGCACTCTGCTGCTATACAACTCCACTGAGACGAACATAAACAGGGATATTTATCACATGTTGAGCTTTAAAAGTGCAGTTAAAGGAATATTTAGACATTTTGGGGAATAGATTTATTAGATTTCTATCCAGGAGTGAGATGGAAAGATTGATAAAACCGTCATTTTCAAAAATACACTCCAACAAGGAGGCAGGTAACTTCCGTAAGGTGTCTCCTTTACATAACAAGATGTCACATTTGATTCTCTGTACTTGTTTTCACATTTTTACTCACTGTGGGTCATTTTTCACTGTAATATAAAGTCCTGCACCTCGATGGAATCAACACAACCATGACTAGAAGTAGAAAGAACTCAGAAATGTCTTCAGTGCAATATGATGCAGTTATAATGCCACGAATCACAAAAACAGAAGACAAAAGTTGAATTTTTATGTATATTTCCAATAAAACTTGGGGGAAAAAAACCTGTGATTAACGTATACAACTTTTTCCCAAGTTCCCCACAGGTGTTATCAGCAGTGGGAAAAAGGGTGACTCTACCTAGTGTAGATATGTTACTATAGTTTCCATATTGGGCCTCTGCTCTGTTTCAACAGCCTGCAGTTCAACCGAAAAGTTTCCTGACTGCTGGTCGATGCTGAGTCACTAATGGCTTCACAGTTGTGCAGAGGAGTTGAGAATTTGTTTTTTTTTTTTTTTTTTACAGAATCTAGTTTGTTTTTGGGGGAATTTTTAAATTTGACATCAAAAATAACATAATTTTGGTGAAATATTACGATTCTCAAGCTTAAGTTTGGTTAAATTATTCCAGATGAACTGCACATCACACCTAAATAGTGCAGGGATCATGTGTTTTTACAGTTTCTGGCTCAGATCAAGTGTGTAATTTTGGCGTTTTTTAAAAAAGCCTGAAGGTTTTTGAGTTTACGGGGTTACATGTGCGAGCTTTAGAGATGCTAATAGGCCAATCTGGCTCTGCACTCTTATTCTGAAAAGTGGTAGAACTTATTTCTTCTCACTCTTACAGAAAAGTCAACAAGCAGATTTCCAAAAATGTTGAACTATTCCTTTGATAAAAACAGCGTCACAAAAAAAGAAAGAAAAAAAAAGCCATTTGTCATGACTGGAAAATGGTTAAATAACTGAAGTCTGACTCATATCTCCGTCACTGAACAGGTTTCTAAACAGAATTTGATTTTGAAAAGCTCCTTCTGCAAGACTGGAGTCACTTGCAGAGGAAACCAAACCATGTAGGAAGAAGTGTCTTTTTTCGTCCGGATGAAATGACGTAAAGGACAAAAAAAACAAAAGGAAATGTATTCAGATGATAAATGGGATCGAAGGAAATTAGAACAATAGAAAGCAGCCTTCCTTTAGTCAAGGGTTCTACTCATGTAGTCATTTATAGAAACTACATTTGCATTTTGGCTCCAGCTGCAGTGCAAATTTTTACACCGTGCATGAATATAAATCTCTTGGTTTTTTTTTTTCCTTTCAGGAGCCCGAACCGCTGCCCAAGAAGAAGTGGCCGACCGTGGACGCCTCGTATTATGGAGGACGGGGAGCCGGAGGGATCAAACGCATGGAGGTCAGAGCGTCACCCCTCAATATGTTGCTTTCATTTCAGAACCGGAGCAGCCAAAACCGTCTTTTCTTATCAAACCCGGCCCGACCCTGCGAGGATCAAAACCTCACCGGCGACACGTATCTGACAGGTTTAATCCTGCCAAACCTGCATCATCATGGAAAACCTGCTGACGTCGGGGCTTTTCGGCGAGAAGTTTGCGGAGTTACTCGGGGAGGAGGGCTGACTGACTGACCGGCCGTCCTCGCTGATGCCTCCGACGTGACAGGTCCTGCCAGCTCGTCCTTGGCCGTGCGAGGCCTGATTGGATCAAGTCGTCGGCAGGATGAAAGATTGAGCGCTGCTGTCAACTTGACGCATCCACCTCACCCTCCTCGACTCCCCCTTTTTGTTACCCGCCTCCTCCGAAGGGAATCCAGGTTTAAAGGCGAGCTCCCCTCCTCCTCCTCTGCTGCTTCCTCCTCCCTCCTGCCGCTTTGCTTCTCAGCCCTCGAGGAAGTCAGTGGGGGTTTCCCAGCATCCTCCGGGAGCTCCTACCTCTTGACTTTTTCCCCACGAGACGGACGCCGGTTACCCCGTCTCCATCTGCAGGTTGATTCCCGTCGACAGGCCTCGTCTCCACATCTGAAGCCCGAATCCTCCTCCTCCTCCTCGTGCTCCGCCGCCGAGGGAAAACGAGGTGCTTGTTAAGATCAACCTGTCCTCTCCCCTGCATCCGCGTTTAAGACGTCACGCTGAGAAAACCACCTCCGCCCGCCGCTTTGCCCGCTGCCAATATTTCAAACGGTTGTTGAGGCGGCCGAGGTGACAACGAATCTTTTATTCATCGCAGCCCTTCTCTCTTTCTTGATGATGCGGCAGGCCGGGGATGCATCCCAGAGATGATTCTGAAAAGCTGTTCTATATTGTCACGGCTTAACCTACAGCTTGAAAACTGTGTCGCTAATTAATCACCTCTCCCCGTTCATGTGACGGTGGCTTTTTTTTTTTTTTTTTTATCTCCTCCTTGCAACAGATGTGATGAATTCAATTAAAAAGCAGGACAGCTTAACTAACACACAGGCCTGCATTCACACGCTCGCACACACACACACAATAACACGTCGCACCACATGGAAATGGGCTTATTAATAAAAGAACAAAACAGGTTGTCTGACTTTAAGCATATATAGTAATTGCCGATTAAAAATAACTCCTTTATTCGTCTGGTGCTGGTTAGTTCTCCTCCTGCTGAAGGTGTTTTCACCTTTCCTGCTTGCTGATTGGCTGTTAAGGATGTTGTTTTGTATTTTATGGGTTGCACAACTTCTATTTAATCCAAAAGCGACTAAAAGAGGACCTCAGTTTCTTTTGAAAATCTGCTTCCTTATTTCAGTGATATAATATTCTATAGTTAAGTATTTTAAAAACCTAAATGAGGAGGTGGAGGTCCAGACTCACGATGGCTAACCAAGTACTAGAACTTCAAATTTAAACAAATGTTAGTCATGATTACATGAAAACTATGGACTGTGGTGTTGACGTTTATAATGCCCTCCTCCAGTAGAAAACTCTGCTCATAAGAAGAGCAGATGTAAATGAAATCAGTTGGTTTCAGGGACTTTTTTTCACTGTTTTCCAACAAATCTTTTTTTCTGAATTAACTGCAGCTTAACCTTAACTTGCATGTGAGGTGTTTAGGGAACATTAGTAATTTATAGTGTCTAGTTGAGGAGTTCAGTCGGTGTCAGCTCATAGTTTGATGTCAGAAAACCTCCAGGAAAAAGACTAAATTAATGTATGTTCAAGTCTTAAGGACCCTGACGATATTTACATCAATGCAAAACTAGCTCAAGCGAAGACTTCTTCTCTTCAGCGTCAGCAAAGTAGATTAATAGTTGTTGTCAATGCTTTATCTAAATAAGGGCTAAATCATGTGCTGGTGCAAGAAAGATGCAATTAATATAAAATCCCCTAACCTTCCCTCCTCCTGCAGCTTTTACCTCCAGCCAGACAAACATGATCATATTTACACGTTTCAAACTTGCAAAAATAGTCAAACTAAAAGTCAGTATTCACTTGCAGCTTCACACAAGACTCAAACTCTGCTGTTCTGAGTGAGTTTTCACTGCTGGCTTTGTTGCTATTTCACCTGATGAGGGTGAAAAGAGTGATTAGTTAATGTCTCCCATGACAGTTTCTGATTTAAATCAATGCTACAACTTAAAAAATCTCAGATTATGCATGATTAATCAGATATTTTGCACATTTTTAGATTTAATTTATTTATTTTTTACATGTTTACATGCTCTTATGCTCAAAAACACATTTTATTGCTGCAGCACCTCTGCTCAGCCTCCGTCTTAAGAAGGCTTCTGTCTCTTTAAGGCCAGATTCCTGAAAAGCATCTTTTGATCTGATCCACCAAAGTGAGGCAACGTTGGTTAAGCTCAGATCTAGCGGGGAAATAATGAAGCGTTTCGAGGAAGACACGGGCGCCTCAAAGTAGCTGCCATTGAAGCGTAATGCAAATGTGTCACATGATGATGTAGACAAGTAACAGAAGAAACGCCTGGACTACGAACGAAGCATTTAAAGAGCAGTTTTTAGTGGGAGAGAATAACTACATGCACAAAAAGCAGCACTGAAAGAAAGAGAGAACCGCCGAAAAGGCAGAATATGGGTTCTTTAAGTTCTTATCTGGTTTTGTCAAACCCGTCCAGGTACGCTGGGGAGAGAAGGGCTCGACGGAGGAAGGAGCCCGACTGGAGAAAGCCAAGAACGCCATAGTTCACATACCGGAGGAAGTAGAGGAGCCGATGATCAAACGTCCACGTCCGAAACCTGCCCAGACCCACCAGGCCGAGAACAAGTGGTACACTCCCATCAAGGTGAGGGCTTTTTCACTGACTTCTAACTGACAGCACTGAACCTGAAAGTCACATTCCTTACATCTGTGCACATACTTGGCCAGTTTGGGAATTTGATCCAGACGACTTCACCAGTTTTCCAGACTGCCATTTGCATGAAGCCGAACTACTACTGACACTACTTATAGTCCATTAAACCCCTAAAAACTCATCTCAGTGTGTCGAAACACATATTTACTTCTTCACAATGCTGTCAAATCGCTAATGGCACCTATAATTCATCCATACGTGTTCGAAGCAGAAACTGAAGATAATATATGAAACTTGTTTTGAGATTGTCATCAGTAAACGGCAACTGCATTATGGGAACCGTGATGTTTACTGACTAATTTGCTTATGATGATGAATATAGTAAACAAGTGTACATAAAATGATATAGTATGAATAGTGGGGGAAAAACATAATATGGGGATATTAACAAGATAAAAATACATTATTTTCATTGAAAGGATGATAAGAAGCTGTCAAATATAAAAGCAGAAATCATAAAAGTTCATCCCTAATTGATAAAGGTATTGAAATCTGCACTCTCACTTGATTACACTTGAGACAGCTTCAGTCAAGCTAAATCAAGACCTTTAAATGTGGTTCAAAAGCTTCTGAATGTTCCTTTAATTTGTAATGTTTTGCCACAAAGGTCAAAAACGTCTTGATTTTTACTTTCTTGCATGTTTCTCTTCTACAAACAATGTTGTGACCTAACATGTTTTTCAACTATGAAACCACTTGTGTGTTCGATCAGGGTCGTCTCGATGCTTTGTGGGCTTTATTTCGGCGGCAGTACGACCGAGTGTCCCTGATGCGTCCCACCTCAGCAGACAAGGTGAGTCGGCGAACAGGCGCTTTAAAATTCATCCCCGGCTTTCTTTCCTACCCTCAAACTGCAGGTTTTCAGCGCTGGCGCTCTTATAATCTGCAGAATTACCTCGAATACGAACCATATTCCTGCAGAGGTGTGTGTGTGTGTGTGTGTCATAGTGTTGTGTTGGTTTTTAGCTGCACAAACCTGCAGAGAGTCTCATCAGTGGACATCAGAGTTGTTTATTACACTACAAATAGAAACTATCCAGCTGCAGTGGACAGCGTGGACGCTCCTCGTCTTCCTTTTCTGATTATTTAATGTTGCTGTAGCCCCTCCATGAAATCCCTAATCCCCAGTATGACTTAATTTGCGTATTTTTATCCCCCCGAAAATCTTCACTGAGTCACCACAATTACAGTTAAGAACTCATTATTTCACCGTCACATCGTGTTACAGCTGCCTCTCAGCGCTGGAAGCTTCCTGGCACGAGTCGAGCGTTGTGTTGTTGTTACCTAACCGGGCCGACGTGAGCTGCAGCTGCAGAGACTCACAGGGAGGAAGCACGACAGCGACCACCTAATATGGTCAATCTGTGGCCTTTTTTCTTTCTGAGAAGAGCAAGAATCGGCTCCACGAACCGCCGCGATGAAACCTGACGCCCCGCGGACGGTTTGGAGTCGACCAGATGTTTTGATATGTCCTGAGCTTTCTAACGCGACGAGTAATCCGACAAACCGCAACATCTGCTGCAGACGCACGGCACTGTAGGCCCGATCTGGAAATGAAGCGTATAGATTAGAGTCGGGTTGCAGAAAAGTGGAAAATTACGGTGCATTTATATTTTATTTCTCGGCCCAGAAGCACTTGCATGGTTTTCGTTGGCCTCTTCTCTGTGATCCTATCTCCACACAGCAGCAGGAATCCTCCTCTCTGACCCATGTTAATGCTACAAACTAGAACCACAATAAAACAAGAGGCTTAAAGGAACACAAGAGCTTCCAAACGTCCACGTGTGTCCACATAGCGGCTGTGTAAACTCCGTCCCCGATGCCTCGTATTCGCTGCGGTGGGCACGTCAGCTCGTCTCCATCACACAGGGCCGAGAACAGGAACCATAAGAGTCTTTTAGTGCTTCAAAGAATGATGTCAGTCTGCAAATCTCTCAAGTGGAATAACTTTTGCAGCTTTGAAAGAGGTGGAAAGAAAGAAAAAAAAAAAAAAGCCGAGCCGGCGGTCCAGCTGTGCGGCTGCCAGAAGCTGCTCAGTGTCACCGTGTTGTTTGGTACGAATCTCTCCTGAAGATGCCTGAACTCCAGTCAGCAGTGACGTGGCAATTTGCATCTTAAAAACATGTGCAGATAGTATCATTAATAACTTAAATTAAGCTAATAAAACCATATTTTAATCACTATATTGGTACGGCGTGGCACAAATGAACCCACTCAACCCCAAAACCTGTCAGCGGGTTAAGAAGGAATTCTATCTTTTTTGTTTAAAAAAAAAAAATCACCAAAATTACAGCGTTTATCATCATCAGGAACTGTAAAAGCAAAAAAACACTTTGGATTTTCTGCTTTCCAAAGCCCCCTGAACTAATCGTGTGTGTCATATGGTTGCATCAGGAAAATTAACCAAATCTGCAAAAATCTGCCATAAAAGTAAACCAGATTCTGCAAAAACAAAAATAAGGCAAATATGGACACAGATTAGAGAGATTAAGAGGAAGATAACACATATTTGATCAATAAAACAAATGCAGCACAGCTCAGAAACAGTGAACAGAGCAAGTTGTTGAAGATACATTCAGCACGGTGAAACATCTTTGTGGAGTTACAGAATACTGTGAAAAACACTGTTTTTCCCAGTATTGGTTAAACCTTACACTACTTAACTTTTGTAAAATACATAATTTAAGTATATATATTTTTCATGATTTATGGAATTCTGGCTTTGTTATGCTGCACAAAGACATTTTTGTCTTAACTTCTAGTCAAGATTGTGTTGTTTTTTAACCACTGTGATGCAAAACCTCATGTTCAGATAAGAAAAGCCTCTATTGATTCAGGGAAATTTGCAGTTTTGCATCAATTTTGCTGATAGATTGCCCAAAAAATGTAAGTAGAAAAATGAAGATAATCAAGAAATATACCTACATACTGTTGATATTCTACAGATTCCTCCAAACATTTTAAACAAATTGCACAGAATCCTTTAAATGTGGAAAAGACCGAAATTGAATTGTCGAAAGTAATGATACAAATCGTGATATTGCACTGGATTCCACACAGATTCTTTAGTGAGGAGAAAATACTGATGTTGCTCAGACTCTTATGCAGAAATACTGATACTGACTGATTTAGTCTTTTAAATGTGCAAAATATTCTAGAAAAAAACGTGACGGGAGCAAAAAACACCCAGAAACTGCTGGGATTCAGATGGTTAAGTGAAGTGAAAAGGCTGCAACGTATTTAAACAAATCTGTAGGAACCTGTAGTCGCTTTGACGCTCCTCAGCCTACAAATCACTACATCAGTGTTTCCTGTTGCTGTCTTCTTAAACACTCACACTCTGTAAAGGCCATAAAAGGTTCTTTCTGATTCTGCTGCAGTGATGACTAGTGGACAGTTTGTTGTGTTTTCATAAGTCGACCAAACCTGCATGTTGTCCTTCAGTTCGCTTGCTGCCACGATGAAATGACAACAGCTCCCCCGTCGAATAGTCGTCCAACTGTCTGAGTTTAAACCTGCTGACACGGAGGCACAGCGAGGAAACAACATGGCCGCTCCAGCCGCGTCAAACACAATAGACGCTGGCGCACGAGGGGTCGAGTCGGGCGCCGCTCGGAGGCGAGTGGAGCCCGGCGGCGAGTAAACAAGGCTGCCGGCGAGTCTCATTTCGATGCCGATCGCTGTGCCGAACTCCACTTTTAAGTCGGTGATCAAGACTGTACACAGCGGACGCAGGAGGGAATCAAACGGAGGCCACGAAGGCCGCCGGCGTTTGAAGTGACATCGGAGCCGAGCGGCGGTGGACAGAAGCTCGGTGTTGCTGAAAGCAGGGTTTATTTTTTAAACGGAGAGTTTAAATCCCCCCGACTGGCTCACGGTGCAGCGTTTCTGGCATCTCAATGATTCTTATGACTCCCTCGTGGTTTAAACCAGGTTTATCTCAACTCTTCAACTCATTTCAGGTTGACGTTGAAGCAGATTTTCAGGCTCATATGAAGAAGTGCTCCTCAGTCTCATCTCTTAATAACTTGATTTTAGAACAAGTCACTTATATTCAGAGTTTTCACACAGAAATTTACAGAAAACTGTTTCACATGTGAAAAATCTTTAATGTTTAAAAAAATGTGTAAAATCTTTGTTATTAAACATTTTAATTCATTCTGTTGTTCATTTTAGATCATGTCAGTCGTGTTTACATAGAAATCATCAGCATATTCTTTTATTCACGATTTTTTATTTTATTTAAGCTTTATTTTTATAAAATGGAAATAACAAACATAAAATTAAAGGTTTTTGCGACACCTTTTTTTTTTTACAGTACACGTGTAAATGTACAGTTTATTTTTAAAATGCAGACAAAAATCTCAAATAAAAAAATCCCAATAAAATTACCTCTTTTTTTTTTTACAGTCCAGATTCATCAATACATTTTTTTTTCAATAGATAAGTAAATTAATCTTTTAAAAAATGTATTTTATTNTTTTTTTTACAGTACACGTGTAAATGTACAGTTTATTTTTAAAATGCAGACAAAAATCTAAAATAAAAAAATCCCAATAAAATTACCTCTTTTTTATACAGTCCAGATTCATCAATGCAATATTTTTTTTTTGCAATAGATGAGTAACTTCATCTTTTAAAAAATATATTTTATTTTGAAAATTCTGAAATAAATCTATAAAATAAAAAAATACATCAAATTACATAAACTAGAATAAATTTTACAGTGCAGACTTTTTAACATTTCTTTGAAAAATGCTGATTAATTAATTAAATCTTAATTATTAATTAGTTTTTATAGTGCAGACTTATCAATACACAACTTTTTTTTTAACAGAAGATGTATCGTAAAAGTTGATTTTATTATAATTTTCTTTTTTAAAAAATACAGGTAAAAATGACAGTAAAAATTCCTTAAAATTATTATTATTATTATTACTGCTGTGCAGTATATTGTGCAGACAAACAATATACTATTTATATTATTTTTTTTATTTTTATCTAATTTTATTTCAAAAACTGTATCTGTAAAATAAAGAAAATTTCAACAAAAATTACTTATAATTAATGTTTTAACAGTGCAGCTTCATCAATACTCTATATCTTTGTTTTTATTTTGATTTATAGTAGACATGTAAATGCACAATTTATTTTCCTAATTTTATTCCAAAAACTCAAAAGATCCAACAGAATGTACTTCAAATTCCATTTTTATCAGTGCAGATTCATCAGTGTGACAGAGTTCAGAGTGTGAACTGTCCGGTGCAGGTTGATGTTGGTGGCAGAACCGGCAGCGATGCTGTGGAGGGGAGAGAGGAGGGAGGAAGGGGAGACAGCAGGGAGGGAGGGAGGGAGGGCGGCGGTCTTTGATGGCGGACAGGAAACCTCCAGGGTCATGAATATTTCAGCGAGCTCCATCCGCGGGGTTACAAGGACTCGTACAGGTGTAAGGAAGCAGGTTGTCGCAGACATCTGTTCAGCAGGGGGACGCGGGTGTCCGTCCTCACCCCTCCCTGGGCGGCCGCCTCCTTCCTCCCCTCCCTCCCCCCGGTGCCGCCGCCCGGAGCCAGACCGCTGGATTGTCAGCAGATGCGGAAGAAGAGACAGAAAATGAAAGTGAAACAGTTTTTTTCCTTTTTTTTTTTTTTTTTCCTTTCCGTGGTCTCACATTTAGCGCCCGAGGGCCTCCGACACCAAAGGTAGAGCGGGGGTGGACACAGCTGCAGTGCCGAACTCGCCCCAGGCACAGATAAAGAGATCTAATGTGGATTGACTGTGTTGTCGGTGAGCGCC